CCTTGCTTAAGATTGAAACACCTTCATGTGTTTCTCTGTTTTTCAGCAAAATCACTAGGTCTTCATTTACTGTGTTTTCAGGGGCATCAAATACATACTGAAAGCCCTTATCAGACTTACATGCTTACGATGATTTTAGTGTTGAACATTTTCCACAATTGCCTTTTATTTACTGAGACTTTTTGTTTCATATGCCATCTGGACAGATCGGATGTGACAGTCACATCCAATGGGTTGTGCTACATAGTTATCATACAGTGTGTATCATACAGATGTGTTCTTTCAGCATTTCAGATTTTCCAATAAGAAAAGCCTCTTTGTTTCCTAGGTATTTTCTTTCATAGTCTTTTCTTCAGTGTTCTTTCTCTGTCACATGTGAAGTTAAAGTAAAGCTTAATGCAAGGGTGGCGGTGGCGAAGTATGTATGTTTTTGCAGCACATTTAATAAACCTAGAAATCTCTACACGTACTTCTAGAGCAGATTATCGGCCTACGGTATGGAAGTCCTGCATGACCACTATCTAGAGAGATTCCTATTCATGCCTCCTGGGTTTTATTCCTATTCAGAGGCATCTGGTTCTTCCAGTGCTTCTTTTATAGACCCAGATGTCCCTAGAAGTTACGATTTTTGTTAGAGGGCAGAGATTGAACTGGCACCATACCACTGAACCTGTGTATTTCTTCTACATTGCCTGTATGGTTAATTCTCTATCTCATACAGACTTCTGCCCACAAACTAAAGGCAGATTGTGTTGAATCAGGTGGTGAAGTGCATGTGTGAAAATGAACTTGTAAATGTCTTATCATCTGTAAGATGTTTCCAGACCTGTTAAGCCTGTTCAATCTTAGAAACACTCCATGTTGTATATAAAAGTAGTATGAATGTTTTGGTATTACTTGTCCATGCCTGAAATAAAAGGTTCTCCTGCTTTAGCTTTGTATTATAAAAGCTGTATCTTCACTTTATTATTCTGGCACAAGATCACCTTATGGGCATGGAAAAATAATGGCATTGATCGTAAAAAATGGAAGTTGTGATTTTAGGAATAGAGGGTCTGTCAGATTCTCTACGGTTTTATTTTTAAATCCAAACTCTGGTCATACATCTAGCAAGTAGCTGAGAGTTCTCTCACTAAGACTAAAAACCTTACCTCCTCTCTAATTGTGCGCTGCTTTCCAGGTGGGCTGCCTGGAAATGCTGCCCTCCACAAAGGTGAAAAAAGATGATCAATGCTTATGATGATGCTCCTGACTCTATTTTGCAAAACAAACAAACAAAAGTTATATAAAAATGGAATGAAATCACTAGTGAGAAAAGGTAATGTCTTGAAACATTCAGAACAAACCAACAAAGGTAAAAAAGCACCTATGGCAGTTAGCTTGTAGGAATCCTTCAAGTGGAACAAACTGAACTCTTCTGGATCCTTCTTGTTATCAATATTCTAGCCAATTTTGGTTTAAAGTATAAATTTTATTAAACTGAGTAAGCGATAGCAGATAAAACAGCGCTGGATGCCCCCGGGACTCCTCCGCTCCGCCCAAGACGCGCACACGCAGTCCCTGGGAGGCGGTCCTTTATCGTCTCCGGTTCAAGGCCCCAGCCAATCCTGTCGCCCCTCCTCACTCGGATGTTGACATGGCTCTTCCCCATTGGTTCCCTTTGTTGCAGGGGGTCTCATTACCGAGAAGTTTCGGGAAGTTTCGAGAAGCTGCCAGAGGCTTCGAGAAGCGTCCACTGCCAGCCTCCTCCCCGTCGCAGCCCCCTCCCTTCAAGCGTTGCAACAAGACACCACTTCGAGCCACCCAGCCCCCTTTTCTCTCTCACAATCCCGCGCAACAATACAACTGACCTCCCCCCATTACCTACAGAGTACAACAGAGTCAAAAGGAGTATTGTTTCACATAACGACAGCCACAGAGAGCCTCCCTCCCCCCAAACTTCTTGATGAACAAACCCCACACATTACACCTCTTGTGGACTCAGATATCTGCTTTTACCAGGGTTCTTGAGCTGAATTTATAGCTCAAACAGCAGGAAATTGAAGAGTCAGTATTTCTACCTATTTTCAGCAGCTTTTAACTCTTGCTCTGAGCTGTGGCTGAATTGCTGTCATATGGTTTGGAGCAGGAATCAAAGTTGCACATGGTTCCAAAGACTCCTATTTGAACTGAGTGTGACACTGCACCTGCACTGTTTTATCAGATTCACCCTATGTCACTTTGCTATGGATGTTTTGCCATGTGCTGAGTGTACATGTAGCTGCGGGTAAGAGTAATCTGTAAGCAAACTGTAAATGCTGCTATTTCTGCAGCTTTATTGAAATTAACTATTTTCCTAAAACAACTAATGTAATTTTGTCCCTCAACATTACTATTAGTCAAATGGTATTCACTGAGTTTCCTGACCTGACAAACATCCATGTGGAATAACAGCCCAGCTTCTGTTAGAGTATCTAACATCAGGTTACTGTTTACATTTGCTTGCATCCATGGTAATGGTCATATCCAGTTTAGTTTAATCAGCAGTTGACTCCAACATGGGACAGGAAAGCATATGTGTGTATATATAGTATCTAAGCTGTATTTAAAAGGTTGTTTACAGAAATAAACTGAGCTAAGCAAGAGATCACACAGCTTTTGTCACCAAACCCATGCTGTTTGGAGTGCTATTTTTTATAGTTTTTGGTTGGGTTTTTTTGTTGATGTTGTTGGTTTTGGGATGTTGGGTTGTTGTGTTGTTTTTTTTTTTTGTGCTGGCAAGATTGCTCTGCACTGAGAGTCGAAGTGTGAGGTGTAGTTTCAGTTAGATACGTTACAGACTTTGCAGGATAGGGGTATGAATTTACTCTCGAGCAGGAGGTCAAATAGAGGTTTCATATGCATTCAGCTCCTTATGGGAATTGCTGACTTCCTACTGAGGTGGTTAAGGATCATAAAACACAAGGATCATAGGCAAAGACAGAATGCTTTGATATTTTTGTCCCTTCAGGCATGATGCAACTGTTGCAAAAGTAGAGGGGGTTTTATGAAAGTAAAATAACTTCACTGCAGGAATTAATTGATCCTGAAAGACTCCTCCTTTACTTCACCCACCATAATAAAAAGCTTACATATCTTTGTTGGAAGCAGAACTTGTTTCAGAGTTTGTAGACAAAATGTTGCTTTATGAATACTTAACAATCATACTGTGATAGGAAATAAAGGCCAGATCAGGACAACAACTGTATGAGACACTTCATACAACCATGGTTTATCTAGCAGCTGTGTGGTGGATTGGGTCTTGTTAAGTCATTGTCTTTCTGGGAGGAAAGGGAAAGGTGCTGCTCAAGTAGTGATCAATGGTTGCAGCTTTTGTTTACACTGTGTGAGCAGTCCTGCCCATTCTTCCACTGGCAAAAGAGTTTATACTTTAAGAAATACTGGTAGGATTTCCCTGAAGAGATGAGCTTTATCAAGGAGGTGCACTAAAGGAAAAATGAGAAGAGGCTCCTGAGACAGAATAAGATGTTGGAAATAATGGGCCTCACTTGGTACTGTGTAGGTGTTGAGTGATAGGCTCATCCTGGTTAGCTGTTGTCAGGCAGCAGGTTTTTGTGCTAATTTGGCCAGCTGAAGTTATGTGTTTTAACATCTGTACACTGGCTGCTTTGCCCTGCTTATGTGGCACCCTAAGAAAGGGTAAAGGCATTTGCAAAAGAAGTGGAAACACATATACCTGAAACACGTATAGATATCCAGGGAGACTTAGACTGGATATTTAGAAAGATTTATTCACTGAAGGGGTGATCAGGCATTGGAACAGGCTGCCCAGGGAAGTGGTGGAATCACCGTCCCAGGAAGTGCTCAAGAACTGTGTAGATGAGGCTCTCAGTGACATAATTTAGTGGTTGGACTTGATGATCTTAAAGGTCTTTTCTAACCTAGCTGAGTCTGTGATTAGATAATGAAGTACAAGGTGCAGAAGAGTATTGAAGTAATTCTTCAAAAATTGTCTATATCAGAGGGGTGCCTCAAAGTTTTAAACTGATTGTTTAGCTACAAAAGCTGGTTAAGGTTTTGCGTTTCCTAAGATTATTCTAGAGTCATAGCTTTCTGTATTATGTTTTATGTCTCTTTTGGACCATCATGCGGTGAATGACATGATGTGAATCCATCAGGCTAGTGAATCCTAGCACAGAGGCTATGCTGTTCCAGAGGCAACACATGGCATAGTGAATATTAACTCTGAGAGTACTCTCACTCTGAAGCCCCTCTCAGTGCTAAGAGGTTACGATCTCCAGCTCAGCTGTGTATTATATACTGGAGCTTTGGGGATGGTGTGTTGAGCCACTGAGCCTTAAGGCTAGTGCTTTCATGCCAAAATATTTGTGATGTAAGGGAGTAAAATCTGGCCCAAAGCCTCACTGAATTGAAAAATTTATTAAAATGCATGTTGAAAGAGGAATTTGGCATAGACTGTTACTAGAGAAAAGAGGAAGAGAGGTTAAAACCTTGATTACTTTTTAACCTGTTTACCTAATTCAGAGTATAAATTATTCCATGTTTTAATTAAAGCTTGGCAAGATCTCTTCTGATGGTCACTAGAGAAAATGAAGTGAGGTATATATAAGTGGGAGAAGAGAACCCACAACCTGCCTAATTGTGCTTGGTGCTGCTAGATGCCAAAAATTCATGGGGACATGTAACAAGATCTGTGTTGCTGTCTCAATCAAAAGACTTTTTAGTAGATTCACCTGCCAAATCCTGTTACTAATAGCATATGATTTTTAAATTAATCTTGGGTTTTGGTTTACTTCTTTCTCTAATAAGCTGTTTACAAGGTGCCTCATTAATACTTTTAAGGTAGTATAGGGAGAATTGGGAGAGAAAGCTGCTCCTGGGGAATGGAAAAATTTCAGATTTAGTCTTTTGCGTTTTCTCCATTATAAGAATATATTTTGTAAAAATTCACTGGGGACAGCTAGACAACTGCTTATAAAATCCTAACCTGTCTTTTGCAGAGAAGATTACCATGAAGATGGGTTCTGTCAGCCATACAGGGGAATTGCGTGTGCACGAATCATTGGAAACAGGACCATTTATGTGGACTCCCTCCAGATGCAAGGGGAAATTGAAAATCGAATTACTGGTAAGCTTATACACTTTTATAGCAGAGCAAAAAACATTTGTGAAAGTTCCAATTCAAGTATAAATAATGCTGTCATCCTTTTCAGCATTATTAGTCAGTGACTAAGACATCCTTATATTAAGGTTCAGAGAAGGTAAGCCGGTTACCCACTTGTACAGTTAGCAAAATTTGAAGCCAGGAAGATGAGTATCTGCTGTCCTTAAGTAAAATGTCAGAGCATTAACTTTTAACAGCTGGTAGTTTGTTCTTGAGCTTTTTGCATGATGGATTCAAATAGAAGATTTTTTTTTTAAAAACAGTTTATGACGTACTAAAAAGGTATTGGGTTTTTATTTTCTTGAAAAATGTATGGTGAGTTTTCCCTTGGGTTTCCTCTGCTATTGCATAATCCTGGCAGAATCTGGATTTCAAACAGGAGTCAAACTTCTTGTGATCTACACCTACAGATTGTATCCGAAACTTCAATGTACATGAACATGTTTTTTTTCACTGGACCTCAGTTAGCTGACATGAGCAGCTGTGACTCTGATGTGAACAAGTAGAGCAAGCAAATGAACCCATGGAATAAATTGTTTATCGTAACATATGGCAAATTAACTCATTCCAGGAGGAGCTTATTTGCATCTGACCATATATGGCTAAGTGAATTTGCAATTTTAACGTAGCTGGTTGCCAGAAAAATTTGGACTGTTTGTCAGCTCTGTCTCCTTAAAGACATTATCTTTAAGACCTTTGAAAGAACACCAGGTCAGGTTTTTTGCTGTTCTGAGATAGTGATCACGTGATGGGACTGGCAAAATTCAGGTGTGGACCTTTCCTTGGGCTGTTGTGACTCATTCATCTCCCTCCTTTCTCCTGCACTTTGTTGTTTTTCCAGCCTGTTTACCATTATGTTGTTAGTTTATACATACTATGGATACAATATTTTCTATGACATAATCGTTGCCCTGTTTGTATGCTTTTTAGCATTATGGAAATGTTCAGCTATCTGAAATGGTGAAATCTATAACTCTGAATTAGGTTCATAATGTCCTTAAAAAGGAAAAAAAAAAAACGAACCACCAACCAAAACCACACCGCTACCACCAACACCCCCCCCCCCCAAAAAAAAAGAAACTTAACAAAAACTAAGCAACCAACCAACAACAAAAAAAAAACTAAACAATAATGAAAAAAAATGCAAGAACTTCTTCCAGCATTAAGTTATACTTGCTTCTGGGATATACAACATCTGGCTGCTGGATCCCTAACATCACTGATGGTTAGATTTTGGAGGCTGGGGCCTGGGACTCTGTCCTGGAGTTGAGGGGAATTTCTGATGGAACCTTTCTTTTTCAGGAAAACGCTGTGAACCATCATGTAGGGCTGCCCAGTGGCTAGCTAGGCAGTAATGATAATCCATTAACAATATGGCATTTTCAAACGATATACGCGTGAAGGACAGACCAAATGTCTTATGCAAAATAACCCTGAGGATTTCACAGCAGACTTGTTTCTTCCAAGTCTGCTTACACATAAAACAAGTAATGCATTCAGACAGTGTTCTCTGTTCAAATGATAGGGTGTTTTTGAAATTGCAGTAATTTATTAGATTTTAAAACAAGCAAACAAAAAAATCGGCTGAGATGTTGCTTATACTTTTGCCCATACTTTTTAAACGCAGGTTTTGGTGCCTTTGTGTGTTCTGGGAAAACTGTGCATGGGAAACGGTGACACCTAATGCCCAATGCCAAGAACATTTAAGAAGTTTATAGGAACATGGGGGAATTTTCATTCTAGATTCTTATTTCCCTGCTGTGCTGCTGTGTGAGATACATTCCATTTGTCCCTACCCGCTGATGCTGTTCAGTCCTGGCCATGTGCTTAGGTGTAATTGCAGCCTTCTATTAACAATAGTACATGTCTGGATAAAACCTTGAGACATGACTTGAAAGACTGGAAGGCCAGCAATAGAGAGTGCATGGACCTGACTCCTGACCAGTGGATGCATGTGGTTTGCAAAGTGTTTCCTGTGCTGCTTGATATCTGTTCATTAACTAAACAAAGTAAAACCCTTAGATGCCACCAAACAGTCCTGCTGGCTTTTGCACCTGCCAGTAAAATAAGGACATGATCATGAATTGTGCACTTTTCGCTCATGCCAGTCTATGTTCCATAATACCTTCATAAAAATTAGTCTGGTGTTTCAAATAGTAACAGTGACTTCTTAATTCCTCCAAGCTTATTTTTTCCCTGCTAGTCTTCGGGACAAGCACATCACAGATGTCGTTTAAGGCCTGATATCATGTGTGCATGCATTTTCCCCTACATGGCGGATAAATGGTTATATTCCTGTGTTAGTATTTCTGTATTAAAATAAGTAGAGGTGTAAACAGTACAAAAGGCTGGAGCTGGGGCTGCTTACTGCATGTGTGATGTTTAGGAGTAAACAGAAGACAGTCTGATAGCAGGTAGCAGCAGGAAGTAGATGGTTGAAAGGAGAGAGCTGGACAAGAAGGAAAGAATTGATTTCTAGGTTGTAAATAGACTGCCGAATTACTTCAGCTGCTCATTTCCTCTCTTTTTACAGTGTGCGTTGGTGGAACGTGCAGTCTGGCAAGCCTCACTCACAAATGATGTTTTCCAAATCATCAATGAATATTTCTCCGTTTAAAGCTTGACTCATTCCCAGATACATGACGTACATGCACATTGGTCTTTTCTTTGCAGTGTGCAAGGAAACTTTCAGATAAACATTAGTGCGTAGATGCTGAGTCCTTGGGAGGATTAAGTCCCTAGTTCACTATGACATTCATCTTAATGTGATCAGTATGCTGAGATTGATTGCATTTTCCCCCGAACTGCTGCCTGTTAGGCTTTTCATGTCTATTAATATCTCCTCAGGTACCAGTGGTGCACTTCCTTTTGCCTGTTAAGGCTTGAAAAACACTTGTCAGAGTTTCTACAGGAGGAAGAAGCTAGGTGATCCTTGTTCAGATTTTTCCTAATTAGGAATTTAGGAAACACATGTTAGCTTCCTGGCAAGTGTATCTTTTCTCTGCTTTTTTATCTTTTCAAGTTAAAATTAGTCAGGTGCCAACAGTTTGCTCAGTGCTAGTCACTTGGGTAAACTGAGCTCTACAAGCTCTGTCCAGATGTCGGAGGGACACTGGAATGCTGGATTTGCTTTCTGCATTTGTCAGCTCTCCTTTACAGACCCTCAAGAAAAGACAAAAGTTATAAAAAGCAAATTACACAAAATTTTTTCATGCTTTTTGTGAATTAAGCAGTATTTTTGTTCCTTTGCAGCTGCATTTACCATGATTGGCACTTCCACACATTTGTCTGATCAGTGTTCACAGTTCGCTATACCATCCTTCTGCCACTTTGTATTTCCCCTGTGTGACGAGCGCTCTCGGACACCTAAGCCACGGGAGCTGTGCCGGGATGAATGTGAAGTTCTGGAGAATGACCTCTGTAGGCAGGAGTACAACATTGCTAGGTCAAACCCCCTCATCTTGATGCAGCTACAGTTGCCTAAGTGTGAGGATCTCCCAAGACCTGATACCTTGGAAGCTGCCAACTGCATAAGGATTGGAATCCCCGTGGAAAGGCTCAGCCGATGTAAGTCCAGGTGTTTCATCACTGGGAAAAAGTAGTATTTGTGGCTTTGTCAAGTTGGGTCAGAGAAGCAGTATTTTTATAGTCATGGTTTTTGTAAAGAAAGTACTGATGTACTGGGTGCTGCTACTTTTTAACATGTTAATACTGACCATAATCTTGCACTGTTGTAAGGTATAGTTAGGATGGTGAGGAAGTTTAAAGGATGTTGCTTAGTACTGAAAGGGTTATATCAACCCCCCTGGGCTAGAAAACTTCATATTCACACAGTCTATTTTGACTCCTGTTCACAGTGCGTTTCAGGCTTCCCTTCCCACATGGCTGCTCCAACTCTGGCTCAGTCTTTGCCTCTCTGAGTGAGTCCCCCCATGCAGCTATTTTTGAGTTATATTTACATATCAGTAAACCTCAGAAAGACTGGGGGAAATTTACTGGAAAAATCTGTTAAGAAATTAAACTTTTAATGTTCACCCTTTCTATATGGAAATCCACAAGCATATAATCCTATAAATGAAGCAAGGAGTGTAATTGCCTTTCTTCACCTACACAGGATGGGTAAAAACATTGATCTCACTTCTGTGAATTTATATTTGCATCCAGGAGTAGATAGGCTGTTCCTGGGTCACTAATTATGTGCTAGCAATTTTTCTGCCTGCTCTGTTTGCTAGCAATTGATCACTCCAGAGCAGAAACCAGAAATAACTGGGTGCAAAAGTACAGATACCCACAAAATGAAAAATTCAAATCCCACAGCTTTCATTTAAATCTTGAAGTACCTGACTTAAAGCACATTTTGCATATGTGGTCTATGCATTAAAATCCTTTTGGTCTTGCTTGGCCTTTGATTGTTTTGTTATTAGCAATGTTTTGTCAAACCTTGTGTTGCAGATCATCAGTGCTACAATGGTTCTGGAGCAGACTACAGAGGGACGGTCAGCGTTACTAAGTCTGGCCACACTTGCCAACTCTGGGACTCCCAGAGTCCCCACAACCATGATCTGACAAGCACACAGTTCCCAGAGATAGGCGGAGGACACGCGTATTGTCGAAATCCTGGAGGTCAGATGGGTGGGCCTTGGTGTTTTACAAAGAACAAAAACGTACGCATGGAACTGTGTGACATACCTTCTTGTAGTATGTATTCTCTTTCTTTTTTCCCCCTACTGTCCCAAATCGTGTAATTTTGAATGTTCCCTATTTCTAAAAGTACAATTCACGTAAGAAGGTTATGGTTTCAAATGTTCTGCTGTAATGCAGCACCCTTGTTTTGTGTGGTGGGCGTTTAGTATTTTCTGGAGATCAGAGCTTGTAACTGACATACTGTGACCCTTTTTTATTCCATATTGTGTGCTTAAGCAATAATTAACAACACTGCTGCAGTTTGTATTCCAGCTTGTCAAACACCAGACTCAATGTACTTACCACCTGTATGTTTGGTTTGCTCATGCTATTCAATGGTATCTTGCAGGCAGCAAGGATTTTTAGGTCCTGTAGAGGGAGATACAGCACCATGCTTGGTTGGAAGGAAACTGTGAAGTGCAGTAGCAGAGATACCGTAAAACTTGATCTTATCAGAAAAGTCCCATGCTGTCTGCTGGTGGCTCTATACTGCACTGCTGATAGCAAAAATGAAAAACGGAGCTCTCTCAGCTTAATATTGGCCCTCTCACTTCCCTGTATTGGTACAGCCTTCACTCTAGAGCTGTTACAGTGGTAACAGTCTTTGGACACGACAAAGCAACTTAATAACTGTGTTTCATTAGAAAGAAAAGCATTGTTTCCTGCAGCAACACATGTATCATGGAAGCCATAACAGTGGTTGTGTTACAGACTGCTTGGATATTTAAGAGTGCTCAAAATTGAGGAAATTTCTTAGTTATTTCACTTTTTTACAGTAACTTAATTTGACATTTATAATAAACTTCTATGTTGCATGTGACGTAGTATAAAGATGTGGTTGGGTGAAAGCAATAGCCACGAATAGCAAAACCGTGGATTGCAAAAGACATCCCAGGCAGTTCCAGTGAAAATTTTGGACATCACTATGCTGTCCTAGAGTCTGTAAATATTAAGAGGAAGGTTCTATAAAAGTATTATGAAGTGTACTGATGGCTCTTTCATATCTCTCTCACTGTAACATAAAGGGAACAAATAATATCTCTGCCAATGAGAAGTGAGATTTATTTTATTCTGTGTAGAAAAGTCATTTTATTCTACCAGTGGAGGCAGAAAGTGGGCAAAGTACTGATGAAATGACTGAAGCAGGGTGATAACAGACTTCAGTGTTGTGCTATGGTTTATCACATTTTTGTCACTGCTTTATATACTGTGATGAAGACTACTCATTTGATTTTTATTCCTGAACAAGATAATGCAATGATACTGTAGTCTGTGTACTGCAGTTTCCACAACTGGAGTCCCCAAAAGAAAATGAAATAAAACACATACTGCTGCAGGCAATGCATTAAATGTGGGGCTCCTAACTTATCTTCATACTGTTAGTTGCTATGTCCATTGAAACTTGTTTGAAATATTTAATGGAAAATTACAGAGAAGGGGGAGGCAGTAAAGTGACTTCTGTTTGCAAGTTATAGGCATTTATTTTTAAAAAATATATAGTATTAATAATCATACTGCAATTTTTGTTTGCTTTTGTGTTTGTTTTGTTTCTTTACTATAGGATGCATTAAAATTACTTATTGTAAACAATGAACATTTCTGTGCCTGACAGGTCCACGTGACAACAGTAAAATGGGAATCCTTTATATCCTGGTTCCCAGCATAGCCATCCCTCTGGTTATTGCCTGCCTGTTCTTCCTGGTGTGCATGTGCAGAAACAAGCAGAAGGCATCTGCTGCTACACCACAGCGCCGCCAGCTGATGGCATCTCCTAGCCAGGACATGGAAATGCCACTCATTAATCAACACAAACAGGTATTTTTTCCAGAATTTGCTTAGGCCACATATTTCTAAAATGTCATGATTTTCAGTGCCTCAGGTTATCAGTGTTCAAATTGAGCTGTATTGTGAGGGATGTGATTTCCATACCATGCTGGCCATTTACTTTAGTGAAAAACAGGTCTTGAACTCACTATCTGTATGTAGAAATCCCAGCCTTGGGCAACAGCTTTCAGGACAAAGTATTTTGTGACATTTGTCCTTACCTGCTAATTCCCATTCTGCCTGCTGTCACAGTAACTAGAAATGTTATTTCTGATCCAGTCTTCAGCCTACAGCTCATTTTCACTCCTGGTAATGACGCAGGTGGTTAGCTTGTTTAAAGCAGGATTCACGGTGGGGTTTCTTGTCTAATCCATCAGCTCAGTCCACTGGTATTCTGAACCACCACTGTGCAGGCAGCTGAGCCAGGGTGCAACATGTTTCTAAGACTGTGTGTCACAAAAGATGGTGAAACAAAAATGGCTTTGAACTCCTGTCTACAGATCTCAGCTCCTGCATATGATTTTCTGGGTCAACTAACTGATCTCTGTACTAAAATCCTGGTCAAAGCTAATGCTGAATTTTTAATCACAGCATTTACAAGCTGCAAGCTCTAAAAACCACAATGCTTAATTTGAAACAATTGACAACATCTGTTCAGGAAACTGTGAATATTTGCAGGATATTGCCAGTTGCAACAAATTGCATTGATTTTGTGTGATAAGGGGTAGTTTAATGGCTGAGTCTGGGCTGTGCTGGAAACTGTCTGGTCTGTTCTGTTGGCAACTAAAATAAGAGTTTGTTCCCAAATCACCTGTTAAAGCCCCTTTCCAGCCTTCTGTGATGGCCTGTGTGTAAAGCTGTGCCAGCTGCATCTGTCCCATCTGGGGACTCCTCCAGCCCATAGAGATGGTCAGGGCGGACCCATTCGATCACGATAACAAACTCCCTTGCTTTCCCTGCCACCTGCACTCATGGGTTTGCCACCTTGTCGTTCATGTACTAGAGAGAAATTCCTTCTTTCTTCTGCTCCTCTTCCAGGCCCTTTTCATCAGAGAGCTAACATGAAGTTTCTCAGTGGGGATACTACATACTGCTACCCACAGGAAGTGGCCATTCCTGTAGTGCAATGAAAGAAAAAGAGCATATCTGCTACTGCAGAATCGAAGGAGGGAGGTTTTGTTCCTCCTTGTTTTAGGATGTTTCAGTTTGCCCTGAGGCTGCCAGCTCCTCAGCCAGTGCCCACAGCTTCTCTGATGAATCTCCAGTGAGCACCACTGGGCCAATCTGTAGGACATGTGCAGCTGCAGCTAATAGACATCATTGGTTGCCAGATTTACTCTGAACCGATTATTCATTTAGCTTGCAGGAAATATGGTTGCTCTTTTGTAAAAATAATTACACTCGTCAACTTTCAGCATAATTTAATTTACACTTCTGATAATAGTATAACTCATTTCAAGGTTAACTGTAAAATCAATATATGATGTGAATACACAGAAAGCTTAGAAGTCATTTTGACCTAGTTTATCTTCCATTTGGGGCATCTAATCAGTAGGAGCTTTTCTTTAAAAAGATACTCTGTCGTTTAGAAAACATTGTGACATTACTTTCTTTATGTCATTTCAGGCTAAACTTAAAGAAATCAATCTATCCACTGTGCGGTTTATGGAGGAATTAGGAGAGGAGAGATTTGGCAAAGTCTACAAGGGACATCTTTTTGGTACAGCACCAGGTGAACAGACGCAAGCTGTTGCTATCAAGACACTTAAAGACAAAGCAGAACTGGCTCTTCGGGAAGAATTCAAACATGAGGCAATGATGAGATCACGATTACAGCACCCAAACATTGTTTGTTTGCTGGGAATAGTGACAAAGGAACAACCCATAAGCATGATATTTAGTTATTGTTCCCACAGTGACCTCCATGAGTTCTTGGTGATGAGATCTCCCCATTCAGATGTTGGCAGCACTGATGATGACAAGACAGTAAAATCCACTCTGGAACCAGCAGATTTTTTCCACATCGTGACTCAGATAGCTGCAGGAATGGAATATCTTTCAAGCCACCATGTTGTCCACAAGGACTTGGCCACTAGGAATATACTGGTGTTTGATAAACTGAATGTGAAAATATCTGATTTAGGCCTTTTCAGGGAAGTTTACGCTGCTGATTACTACAAACTGATGGGAAATTCCCTTCTTCCTATCCGGTGGATGTCCCCTGAGGCTATTATGTATGGCAAGTTTTCTATTGATTCAGATATATGGTCATATGGAGTTGTCCTGTGGGAAGTTTTCAGCTATGGCCTGCAGCCTTACTGTGGTTATTCTAACCAGGATGTCATTGAGATGATAAGGAACCGACAGGTTTTGCCATGTCCTGATGACTGCCCCACATGGATATACACTTTGATGTTGGAGTGTTGGAATGAATTTCCCAATAGAAGACCAAGATTTAAAGATATACACAATAGACTAAGAACGTGGGGAAACCTTTCTAATTACAACAGCTCGGCGCAAACCTCTGGGGCAAGCAACACCACACAAACAAGTTCTCTCAGCACAAGCCCTGTTAGCAATGTCAGCAATGCTAGGTACATTGGACCAAAGCAGAAAGCTCCAGCTTTCCCTCAACCACAGTTCATACAAATGAAAGGGCAGATGAGACCAATGGTCCCACCTCCTCAGCTCTACATTCCAGTCAATGGTTACCAGCCAATGCCTGCCTACGGTGCTTACTTGCCAAATTTTTATCCCGTCCAAATTCCAGTGCAGATGGCTCCTCAGCAAATGCCTCCCCAAATCATTCCCAAACCAGGCTCCCACCACAGCGGGAGTGGATCCACTAGCACAGGCTACGTAACAACGGCACCTTCCAATGCATCAGTGGCAGACAGGGCTGCTCCGCTTTCAGAGGGCACAGATGACACACACAATGGAACGGAAGACATCACCCAGAATCCTGTCCAGGAGGAGGAGGAAGAGGAGAGCTCTGTGCCTGAAACAGAATTGCTGGGTGATAATGACACACTTCAGATGGACGAAGCAGAAATTCAATCAGAAGCCTAAGGAATTTGGCCTTATTACTGAGAATTTCACATCACTTCCATGCATGGAGACTGTAGATCCTTAGGCTTAATAGGAGTGATTTTTGATCTGACTAAAAGAATCAAAACTAAAAAACCTACAACCGTGTAAAGTGCAGCAGTAATGATATACCAGGTTTACTGACCATTCCCACCATCATATTTTGCAAATACAATGGTATAGAATTGCTGAGTTTAATCTTTTTTACTGTTCTACAGTTTTTGAGGGAAGCTGCTTTTCAGTTATGTACTGTTGCTGTGCAACATATTGCAGAGTGGCATTGCACATCATGTATATCATGATACGTGAGTGTAATGTTAGTGAATTATGCTTAAACCAATAACACAAAAAGGAATCCAGCTAAGGTTGCTGAATTGCTCTGAGCATAAAGAATTGCCCTGGATGTGATGGGACAGCTTAGTTAATAGTATTTATCTCTTTGATATAATGGACGCAAGATTCTTACTTGCTTTTCGAGTCTGAAAAAATAACAAGTTGAGAATACTGATCTATGTCTGTATTACAATAACCAGAAGAGTAAGGAATCTGAACATAAAATTGACTGTGCTTGGTCAGACCACAGGTCTGTCCAGCCCAGCAGCATGTAATGAAAGGCCATCGATAATGTCCACCCAGGGAAGATGCAAGGGCAGTTTCCCCAGGGTATTTCCCCAGGCTCCAGCAATTTGCGGCTTAGGGACTTCCCAAGCCAGAAGTGGTGTTTTTTTTTCTGTTTAATCTACCATGAATTTATCCAAATGATTCTGAACCCATATAGACTTATAGCATCCACAACATCTTGTGGAATACCATGAGAGGAGAGAGCATGGCTTTTTTTCATCATTCCCAATGAATGACTGCAACAGAAGCTTCCAAACAAAATCGTCTGACTGCATTTATGGATGAAAGTATTCTTTCTCTGCTGTGCATTTTCAGCAGCAAGCAGCCTTAATACACTGTTAACCAAAAATGGGGATATTGTAGGGGATATTGTAGGTGTGCACTAACTTAACAATCCAACTTTAATTGCATATTGGTTATCAAGTACAGAAAAGAGCTCCACATCATATGTTCCTACATTGTTAAAGTGTTGGGTTTTGTGCAGAGTCATAGGCTTACTTGATTTACCACAATTACTGCTGGATTGCATGTGAAACCGTGTTTTTTCCTGCCTCTTTAGACAAAATGAATCTTTGAACTTTAGAAGACCAAAATAAGCAATTTACTGTACAAAGTGCTGGTTTTGTGCTTCTATTTGCAGGATGAATCATGTACAGACCTTTAAATGTAATTTATGTTTTACTACATTTTATATACTTTCTTTCATTGAAGTATTTGGATTTTTGGATGAATGACTTTATAACTTAACCATTTTCAATATTCACATGTGGTGCAGTTTTTATTGTATTGCTGTTTCATTTTGTTAAACATGCAGACAGGTCCACACATTTCATGACCCTTTCTGTTACATAAGCCATACACATTCTTATTGTAGAGTTGTAGCCAACACACACTATAGCTATAAGTTGTACATCCAACACGGGGTATTCAATAACGTGATACAAAACGTATCATTAAGTATGTTATCTTTATAGTTCCTACAGCCAATGTTTTGTTATGGTATTTTGTGGAAATAGAGATGGGCACAGTTCCTTAGGTTACAGGTTTCATACCTAAGCTACAACTTTCTATTTTTATTGCATTGGGATTCACTTCTTAGTTGTGTATCATTGTGATCTACACCCTGTGTTCATGGTATGGCAGCATTACTTATTTCCAGCATTTCATCTGGATTTGGAAATGCACTGGTAGGAATAAATATGAAAGCTTTATTACTTGTGTTAATATAATGCAGCTTTGGGTGCTATTACTAAATAAAGGATAAATAAATAAAACCACATTGGTTATTTACTTTTAGTTCTTTGTTTCTTCTAGGTTTCACATTCTCAGATTAATGAACTTCATCAATCAACTACATTGACTTCCTTCGCTAACCTATTGCGTTAAAAAAAGAAGAGTAAGTGGTCCAAGTTACACCACAGATATGTCAGTGAGAGATGAGGTATAATAAACAAATGAGTGGCAGTCAGTGGAAGGTTCTGTACAGCACTGTCTGAGGTTCAGCCCATTTCTGACAGCCAAGGAGCATTACAGCTCTGGGGGCTTTGGATGCAGTTCACAAAACTCCTAATTCCCTTCTTCATGCTTCATAAATTCAAGCCTGTAAGTCACTGTAGTCAGAAAAATTAGGATATACTCCTATACTGACTTTCCCATCCCCACCAAGATGTGGATGCTCTCTCAAAGTTATATTAGAGGATTGGTATACAATTCTCTAGCCCAGCCTTGGTGATAGTACTGCTGAGGGGTTTCCTCCCTTCTGTTGATGTGAACATACTTGCCTGAGCTGCCACAATCAGAGCCATGACAGCATGCAAACACCTCCTTGGTGGCTCAGGTGAGCACCTCTGCACAAATGGATACCGCAACCACATCAGTGGAAGTCATATAGATTGGCAGTAACATGTTGCTCTGCAATTTGCCAGGCAATTCTGCTGGTGGTAACTGCTGCAGTAACCCACAGTCAGGATTTGCCTTTCCTCCTCAAGGTTTGGAAGCAAGGCCAAGGAAGAGCAGGGAAAGCATGTGGTAGTAAGTGGATGTGATAAGGCAGTAAGGTGGGAATACAGGAGGGAAGGCTTGAGGTTGTGGCCCAGCAAAACCAGCATAATGCTCCTCACTAGGGCATGCAAAGTTGTATATTCATACTAGAGCTAGTAAAGCTGGGGTTTGTTCTGGTTGCAGAACAACTTTTCTAGGCAACAAATACATGTCTGGAGAAGGCAAGGTGTTTTTGAGAAGATGGGGATATTTCAAAAGTTTTCTGCCTCTTTCTAGTTGCCTTCTCTGCTTCAGCCACCATGGTCTTCCCAAGAGGACAGGTGCTGAAAATTAGGAAAAATTGATAAGAGCATTGGTAGTGTCCACAGCAGCCCACTGATGAGACAGGAGGCTGCAGCCAACAGAGATAGCCTCTTCCACATCTCCGGTGCTGTATGACACTGGACTTGCTGCATGCTTTCCCCCCCTGTCCATACCAATTGATTTAGCTGTCCTTACTCAATCCCAGCTCTCTGATATTTTGCATGCGTTTGATCTTGGCTCAGACTGTTTTGAAGAAAGAGCTCATCATGGTTTAATTCCAGCTGGCAGTGAAGTACCATGCAGCAGCTCACTCACTCCCACCCCTCTACTGAGATGTGGAGGAGAATCAGGGAAAAAGGTAAAAACTTACTGGTTGGAGTAAGCACAGTTTAATAGTTGAAATAAAGTAAATGATGATAATAAGAAATAAAGGGAGGAAAAAAACAACCAAGTGATGGGCAACACAGTTTCTCACCGCCCACTTACCGATGCCCTCCCAGCCCCAAGCAGTGATCATCCCTTTCTGGGTGATTCCCTCAAGTTTATAAACTGGGCATAATGTGCTGTGGTGTGGAATATCCCTTTGGCTAGTTTGGGTCAGGTGTCCTGTCTCTGTTTCCTCCCAGCATCTTGTGCCTCTTCTCACTGGCAGAGCACAAGAAACAGAAAAGTCTTTTATCAGAGTAAGCACTGCTCAACAACAGCTAAAACATCAGTGTGTTATCAGCACTGTTCTCAGACTAAAGACAAAACACAGCACTGTACCAGCTACTAGGAAGAAAATTAACTCTATGCTAGTGCCTGTGCTGAGCAAGTCCCTGGCAAGGCTGGAGATCAGCCCAGCAGCAGCAAGCCTCAAGGTGTGCACTGCACATATTCATGAGTCCTGGTGAGGAAGAGGCAAAGAGGCAGAAGCTGGAATATGAGGCGGGGGGTGGGTGGGTGTAGCGTGTTCACAAGTGCTAAGGGGAAGTCTTGACTTATGACAGGACTTTCTTAGGGTTCATGTATCCTAGAGCACAAAGAACCAAAACTCTGTAGGGTTCAGCAGTGGCTTGGTCAGCTGGGCATCTGCTGTGCTTGAAAACAAGTGTGAGTCTGTTTGCAAAAGCATATGGTGTAGATGAGAGATGAATTTGCAATCACAGAGCAGAGACGATAGGGTATGGTTCAAAGTTTGAATGGGGACACCAAGTAACTGTAGCTCTGCCACACCTCCACCATGCTAGTGCAGCCTGGCAAGTGTGGAGACAGTGTTCTCACAGGAGAATGCATAATTGGTACATAAACTCTGAATAATCCTGAAAGGTACAGCAAGGCCATGAGAGGCCCAAAGAAGCTTAAGCAAGCAAGATAAGAAGCTGGAATTCACTGAGTTAATGACAACTGTGGACTGTTGGCAAGCTTTTGAGGTCAAGTTCTCACACCTGTGCTTAACCAACATGTTAGTCACTAAGGGTCTTCAAGACATGTATCCAATCACAATATGCCGAATCACTGTAAGTGCATGTAAGAAATAGTATATAAGGAGTTAAGGCTTTGTAATAAATTTGGCAAAGTTGCTTGACCACATTGATCGTCTCTGCGTTCTCCGTGACTCCTGCGTCAACAAGTGGCACCCGCACAGGGACCCTCCGATCGGTAACTCGACAAAGACGAGTTTGAAGGTCCAACAAAAAGGAGGGGGCGGAGAGCCGGCCGAAATTCAGCTCTGCCCCGGCGCTGGGAAGTCAGACGTCTGCAAAGCCTCGGGAATCTCGCCCTGATCAGGTGAGCGGCCAGGGAAGAGATGGGGCACTTGCTATCCAAAGAGGAACAGGCAGTGGAGAAGCTCCTCCAACACATTCTCTCTAAGAGAGGACTGCAATATGATAGTGCCACCTTACAGCGGCTGTTAAAGTGGTCCCGTGGTCGCAAGGTTAGTAAAGGGACCAAAGGTGCACAGAAACACTCTACACTACACTCTACACTTTGGAGATTGGTGTTAGAGACTTTGAAAGAGATGAAACTGGAAAGGGCTGCGGTAGCTTCTGTATTTGCCGCCGCAGCTCCAGAAGGGGCTGTCTCCCCTAACCCCCATCATAGTGCTGTGGCTATGACTTTTGCACCTCCTGTGGTACCTGGAACGGCGCCGAAAAAAACAACGTCCCGAGCTGATGAAAGCAAGAGCCAGGTCCGCAGATGGCCACATACCGAACGAGACACCTGACAAGAAAGACATAGCTGTGAACAACGGAGACCCTGAGTTTGACCCAGGATCAGACCCCAGGTCCCCTGAATCCGAGCCAGATTTATATCCTCTGCTTCCAGACTCGCACTCTTCATCTCCCAGGTCAGTCTGCTCAGCTCATCAGCAACTACTCACTGGCCCTGGAGACGCTCAGCTGCAACAATTGATGAAAAAGCTTGAAGCCCTTGAGACTCGGATTGACACATCTCCATCGGCGCCTCCACCTTATCCTCCGTAAAACCCCTTCCTTAAAGAAGGCAAACAGGGGGAGGGGGTGGGAGAGGTATCGGGGGGCACAAATCCTGTGCACTGTTGGCACGGGTTAATCAAAGATGCGATTATTACTGGTGAATTTTCTGCAGTGGGCCTCTCTGCATATCCTGTGTTTACTACACAGCATGGGGGTTAAAGAGTGGGAAGCTTTTGATCTCAAAATAGTTAAGGAGGCCTGACAAGCAGTGACCATGTATGGGTTAAAATCCTCTTATACTCAAGCTGTGTATGCTATGATTTTTTTTGCGACTGACAGGAGACTTTAATGATCCCCCTGCTATAATACATGGTCAGGCTTTAGGTTCAGGTTATATG